GCCACCAGGGCCAGGGGAGGGCCAGGGTCAGGGCCAGGGCTAGGGCCAGGGCCAGGTCCAGGGCCAGGGCCAGGGCCGGGGCCAGTAACCAGGGCCAGGGCCAGGGCCAGGCCAGGGCCAGGGCCAGGGCCAGGGCCAGGGCCAGGGCCAGGGCCAGGGCCAGGGCCAGGGCCAGGGCCAGGGCCAGGGCCAGGGCCAGGGCCAGGCAGAGCCCTGCCTGCCCCAACAAAACGGCCCTGGTCCAGCGGATGGGGTGAGGGAGCAAGGGGTCTCAAGGGGGAGTCGCAGGAGGCCCTGAAATGAAGGACCCAAACAGGTGCGCGGACAGATGGGGTTCAGGGTAAAATAATATAATACAGTGACAACTGCTGACTCGGCCTGTGCCTGCCTGGAGGGTAAGCCAGCCTGGAGGCCAGCTCGGTCGCCCGCCTGGGGCTCCCTCGCAGGGTCTCACTGAGCGCTCGACCAGCGCCCGCCTACCCCAAAAGACAAGAGAGTGGGGTGGCGGGCGGGTTTAGGGTTTAGGGTTTAGGGGCTTAGGGGCTTAGGGTTTAGGGTTTAGGGTCCAGGTTTTCAGTTTCGGGCTTAGGGTTTTTAGCCAAGGTATCCCAGAGGGTCCCTTTGTAGTGCTATTATGGAATTAGGCACCGAGAAACCATACCAAACAAGGGGGTTTTTGGGGTACCTAATTCCCTAAGAGTACTACAAATCCTCTTGGTAAGGCTGAGTTGCATCACATCATTGAGTTGAAGGCCGTTGGTGTGTTCGAACGGCATCCAAAGCAAAATTGCTCCAAAGCCCTCAGATCCTGGACCCATGGCCGGTAAGCCCAGGATCCTTACCCTAAACCCTAAAACCCTAAACCCTAAAACCTAAACCCTAAACCCTAAACCCTAAACCTAAACCGTAAACGCTAAAACCTAAACCCTAAACCCTAAACTCTAACCCCTAAAACCTAAACCCTAGACCCTAAACCCTAAAACCTAAAACCTAAACCCTAAACCCTGAGCCTCCAACGCCAAGCGTCAGCCGGATTCCGTCCTCGTTGCGCCAGGTGCGGCGGCACCACCAGCCACACCCCGCACCATCTGTGTGCCAGACGAGGCCGATTGGAAAATTTCTTGGAGCCAGAAGTCTTGAGGCCTAAACTCGAACTCTTCACCCTAAACCGTAACCCTAAACCCTTAAGCCTTGTGCCTGGAGTTTGAATGAGCGGGTCCGCACCATGCTGTCGCTGGGAGTCGGTGTACATTGAAAGCGTGATCTCCATCTTCTCAAGCCGTCTCAGGGCTTGGGAAACTTTCTCAACACCAAAACTCGAAATCGCCCTTGACCCTGAAACTCGACTCAAATCCGATCCTGAAACCTAAAGCTCCCACACGTTTTTCGGCCAGATTTCCGAAAAAGCCCTAAAACCCTAAACCCTCGGCCTAAACCCTAAACTACTCATCCAAAGCCCGAAGGCACCTACAACCCCGAATCCCTCTACCCCCGAAACCTCCATAATCAAGGGATCCTTACAAGGGGACTTTGGGGGTGATGTAGGGGCAACTTCGGTACATAGGGCCTCTATAAGGTATTTTTTAGGAGTTGGATAGGGGAAGAAGATTCAGGGGTCCTTCAAACGCCACCAAGGCACCCTCAACCACTCTAGGCGTTGACGCTTCGCTTCCTCTCTTCGCCTGCAGAGTTTGGCCTGACCCTCTCGGGGGGTCCATAGAAGTGAGGGTTTGTAGGGGTTTTGGGTCTTTTGCATTTTGTTTGTTTTTGTTTTTTGGGGGAGGGGGAGGGGGCGGGGAGGGGGGGGGTTGTAGAGGCTGAGGGGCTTAGGGTTAAACCCTCGGGGTCCGAAAGACTTTTAGAGGCTTAGGGGCTTAGAGGAGGCTAAGGTTCTATCGTGCCCCTAAACCCTAAACTCTAAAGCAGTCTTTGGGAGTTTAGGGTGCTTCAGGGCCTCGGTTTGGGGGCTTTTTGAGGTTCGAGGCTTTCGGATTTTCGGGGTTTTAGGGGTGCAGGGCTTTTTGCTGTTGCAGGGCCGAAGATCATGGAGTTCCCTACTACGCCTCCCTACCCTACACCTGAAAAACCTGAACACATGGGCTTTGGGTTTAGGGTTCTAACCCCCCCAAGTTCCCCCTCAAAAACCTTAATGAGGCTTAGTGATCCCTCAATTGCCTTATTTATGGGGGGAACCTGGGGGGAGGGGGGGGGGGGGGATAGAAAAGAGGGGGGTAGTAGAGGAACCCATGAGTAGAAGCCTAAGACCCCCACTGTAAGCCCTAAACGGACCCCACACATCGGGGTTTCCGGAAAGTAGGGTTTAGGGTTTAGGTTTAGGGTTAAGGGTTTAGGGTTTAGGGTTTAGGGTTTAGGGTTTAGGGGTTAGGGTTTAGGGTTTAGGGGGGTACTTTATTCTAAGACAATCCTCCATAGTCCGCAAGAAAGGCCGCAAGTGGTCTCTCCTGGAATCCGCTCCGGCGGCAGCTTCAGAGGCACCGGCGGGGCAAACCGTGAACTCCGCAACCCGGCGACCTAGAGGCCTTACAGTAACCCGACAACCACTAACCTGCTACCTTTTCGGGTTTAGGGTGTAGGGTTTAGGGTTTAGGGTTTAGGGTTTAGGGACCTAAACCCACAAATCCCCCCCCCCACACCTCCTGAAACCTGCGACGCATAAAGCTTATAGCCTGGGCACGAAGATACCTAAAGCTTCGAAGCATCCAGGCCCGAGAGGGTCGTTGGGTCGAGGGCTTTGGGCGGTTTGAGAGTCGAAAGTTGGTTTCGGGTGCCCGCACAAGCTTTTGGGGTAGCTTGGAGCGTGGCAGAACCCCCAAAAAATTGGTTCCCCTACTACCCCCCCCCCTTTATACTACCCCCCTAGGTTCCCCATAATGAAGGCTATTTTAGGGACATTTTGAGCTTGATTAAAGTAACGTAGGGGGGGAACCTGGGGTTGTACTGAGACCTCCGAACCCTAATTCGTAAACCCTCCCGCAAGCTCCCGAAGCCGAAGCTCTCTCGACTCCTTGCAGGTGCGGCCGCTGCCCACCTCGGCACTGTGGGCGCCCGGCGCCGGGCGGCGGCGAAGGCGAGCTCGGGGTCCAGGATGTTGGAGTTCAGGATATTGTGTGCGAGCGTGAGAGCGGAGTGAATAAATGAGCGGGCGAATGTAATTCACGTGTGAGCGCACAAAAACCCTTCATTTGGGATATTAAGTGAAGCGTACGGGCTAACATAATTGTAAACGCTTGCGCGCGCCGCCTCGGCAGCCGGGCCGGCCCCAGGACAGGAAAGGAGGAAAGAGGGTTTCGCAAAAAAAGGGAGGAAGGGCAGAGCGGGTGGGGGGGGGGGGGGGTCGGGGGGGGTCGGGGGGGGGTGAGGGGGGGGTGGGGGGTGGGGGGGGGGGGGGGGGGGTTGGGGGGGGGGGTGGTGGTGGGGGGTTTGAGGCACTTCACCTGTAGGAGCCACCCACAAGCGGGGACCCTCCACGGCATCGGTTTTGCAGGCTCCTCCAAGGGATTGGGGGGGTCCAAAGGGCGGGGGGGGGGGGGGGGGGGGGTGGCATGGGGGGAAGGGTTGGGTTAGGGGGAAGGAGGCCCGATCCGGGTCTGCTTGTTCCAGACGCTTCTCGGCAGGAAGCCGAGGCGAATATTATAATTATAAGGAACCGCATGAATTATAATATTATGTTCACTAGCCCGTGTGCGTGCGTCTTCTTATTATGGTGAAGAGAGCATATTAAATATACTGGTAAGGAACAAAGTGACGCACGCAGTATATTTAATGTGTGAACGTAACACACGCGCGAATAAGAGTATTAGTGTGCGCGTGAACAATAATCCCGGGCGTTTCTATTATATTTTGCCCGGGGGAGTGAATAGTTTTCTTGTTCATTTCGTTCTACATTCACTTCCCTTTATCTCTTCACTCTGTTCTCTATTCATGCGTCGTGTTCGCTGGCTCACTTACTCCTTATAATAGAGAACGTGAAGAGAACATGTGAAGTGAATTACAAACGAATGCAATGAGTGCGTGAATTAACTGAACATGTGAACGAAACCCACAGTTGATGATTCATAGACTTGGAAAGGAAGGTGAAAGGAATGAACTAAAAAGGCCCTATCATTTTTCCCTTTTGGCCTTTTTAAGTGAATGAGTGAGCCGAATGAACAAGCGAGGAAAGTAGTGTGTTAAAGGGGCTCTTAATAAATATACTAAATTAGCCCCTTTACCACCTTTAATAATATTACAACTAGTGAATGAAGGTGGTAAGAAGTGAACTTGTGAACGACGCACGCACCGCAGTGAACGAAGTGGGTTGGGATGTTCCCGCTGATACTCATCACTCACAGTCCTTAATCGGGATTCTACTCGGGGGTACTGTGATCCCGAAAAAAGGACGGGTAATATACGAACATCCCAGGGATCCCTTTAGCCCTGCAAGGGGATTTAGGGCTGGCTTCCAAAGTCTTTGGGTTTAGGGTTTAGGGTTTCGGGTTTGGGGTTTAGGGTTTAGGGTTTCGGGTTTAGGGTTTAGGGTTTAGGGTTCCAAAGTCTGCGTGGCCCCTTCTCTTCCAGGCGCTGTCAGCGGGAGGCGCTCTCCCCGAACTTAGCCAAGGCGGGTCCAGGATGCCGTGTTTAGTGACCCAGTGCTTGTGGGGTTGAAGGTTCACATTCTTGGGGTTTTACGATATTGGGGGGGAGGGGGGGGGGCGGGGGGGGGTGCCTATTGGGGTCCTTATGATGCGGGGATCCTGCTATTTAGGGGTCTTTCAGGGGTCCCTAATGCTAAACATGCACTCTGTCGCTGTGTTGCACAGTTCACCGATGTCAGGCATGTGCTCCCATTGCACTTTACCTGCTGCCGTTAGACTTTCGGGAAGGGCTACGCGTAGAGGAAAGTACTTGTGCCATGTGCGTTGCCTAGATCACAGGCTCCACTTCAAGGCTGCATATCGCATTGGTAGCGCTCGTTCCTGGTTGGGTACGCACCTGGATACATGTACTTTGATGACGACGCTGTGAGCGGCGCATCAGAGATCAGCGCTGAGCGGGCTGACGAAGATGCCTCCGCATCCGTGGGTGGCTCTGGCGGCGCCCGCTCGAATGAAGACGTACTGGGGTCTGCGAGCGAAGCCCGCAGACGCAGGAGAGGCTCTCGAGGCGGCAAGCATGGTTCTTCGGCGTCTTCTACTTCCACATCTAAGAAGTGGCGTTCGGGCGCCATACCACAGGCGCCAAGCTTCGAGGGCAACATAGAGGCAGATCCGTTCTGCTTCAGGCACTACAAACGACGTTTGCTCAGGTGGGTACGTATTACCCAAGAATATCTTCCTCCTGAAGAACAAGCCTTGAGGGCACTTGAGCAGCTGAAGGGCGAAGCAGAAGCAGAGTTTGAGGAGATGGACGATTCGGTTTTCGACTCCCCCAACGGCATCACGCTCCTCCTGAAGGCCCTGGAGGAGAGCTTCGGCGAGAAGGAGCTGTTCCGTCAGGGCGGCACGATTAGGGAGTTTGAGTCCATAGGACGTCTACAAGGGGAGTCTGTGACCACCTTCGTTCGCAGGTTCAGACTCCTTGAGCGGAAACTTCAAGAGAACAAGGTGCCGCCGTATCCGGAGCAGGCCAGGGTCATCAAGCTTCTCGATGGCCTTCGACTGGATGAACGTGCAACAAGTTCCCTGCTCTTGGCGGCCGGCAACAAGTATCTGATGAAGCCCATATTGGATGCGATCAAGATACAGTACCCGGCGGGTATGAGTGTTACAGGACTTCCTCGGCGTGGTCAAGAACTCTCTGGACAGGCCCGCAAGCCTAAGGCCAAGGGCAAGTGGCGACAGTGGTCTACTTCGGCGTCTACCTGGCAGGATACCGACGAGCACGAGATCTCAGGCGAGTACCTACCCGAGGTGCCGGAGGAGACCCAGGCCCATGAGAACTACGTCATCTACGACAACGATGAACTTGTGCCGGAGCCCGAGGCCAACCAGGCCGAATGGTGGGAAGTTGAGGACGAGGTGCTGGACAACCACGACAACCTGGTTCTGGAGGTCGATGACGCGAAGGACGATGGTGCCGCGCCTCCTGAGAGTTACCAAGACTTAGCCCAAGTGGCTGAGGCCTTGACAGTGACCAGCAAGCGACTCGCCCAACTGGTGCAATCCCGAGGCTACTACTCTCCGGATGGCAAGGGCAAAGGCAAGACTTTCAAGGGCAAGATATCCGACAAGGGCAAAGGCAAGGGCAAGTCCAAGAACATGACTAAGGCCAATCCTGGCCGTGGTGGCAAGGCGATCAACGGCAAGGGCTTTGGTGGTTCCTCACATGGCAAGGGCGCCAAAGGTGCTCTGAATTCGAAGCTGAAAGGCACCGGATGCTTGGGCTGTGGAAGCCCGAGCCACTGGATACGTGATTGCCCGCAGTTCAACACGCACAACGCGCAGGTTGCTACTGCAGGCATCGAGCTTGACCCATGTGGGTATGTAGTCCAAAGCGGCTGGATGGTGACTGCCGACTTTTGCTCGCAGTCCGAGAAAGAGTCCGATGAGGTCCCAGTGTCCGATGAGGTCCCCGTGTACCACATGCCTCCGCTCGCAGACTTTGCATACTTTGATGTTGACCAGATTCCCCACAATCCACAGTCCCTGTTGCAGTACCAGCATGGCAAAAACTCCAGCATGTTGACAGGTTGCAGGTCCTGAATGGCACCAAAACAAGATATCCGAGATTGCACCCTTGGTACGTACCGAACATCATGAAAACTGCCACTTCAGCTTCGGACCTCACAAAGCATCTGCAAGCTTAGGTCGCTACAGCTATCCCGCAGCATTCGGTGGTGTTCCGGTGGTGCTCTCTGTCAGCTTAGTCCAAGACAATGCCCCAGGACTTCTTAGTCGAAAAGCCCTTGAAGCACTAGGTGGTGTGTTGGACATGTCCCAGGCTAAGATACACTACACTCATCTCGGAGTTTCTTCAGATCTTTGGCTGACGCATTGTGGTCACCTTGCTGTGAGAGTAGATGAGTGGCCCGCAGATGCATTTGCTTGGCCAGTGCATGTTCCACGAGATCAGCATGGAGTGCTCGACGTTTGGTGTGCGTCTTTGACCGGCCCAGGCATGAGCGATAGCGCGTTACATGTGAACGTGGCACCGCCCAAACCTCCTCCACATGCCCTCGGAACCTCCAGCATGGCTCACTCACTGGCGGCATCTGCTGTGCACCCTTCGGGAGTATGTGAGAGTTTGCAAGATGGCAGTTCTTTGCTACGCTGCGGCCGCGATTCGACCTCGCCTTCGAGACGATGTGCTGAGGACTCACTTCCTTCCCCAGACGGCGGTGACCATGTTGGGCTCTTTGGCGGAGATGTCTGCGAGGGCAGCCCAGGGGCAGGACAAGTACATCAAGAACGTGGACACGTGCCAGCACGAGAGCGGCCTCAGGAAGTACGGAGCGGGCGGTGTGCGAGTCCGGATCTGCGACCTATGCGGAGCTCGCTGGGTTCTCAAGCAGAACGGGGAGGCTGTTCGAGCCACTCCAAAGTCCAGCCCAAGTGCAAAGACTCCTCTGGACATACCGGCCCCCGTCAAGGACCAGGTCAAAGTCAACAAGGTGAAGGCGCCTCAAGCGCCACCAGCACCTCCTACGTCCCGCGGTTCATCGCAGCCCTCGGCTCCCTCTTCTCACTCCTTGCCATTGTCACAGGCGGCCCCGAAAGCAGGCTATCACTTTCGTCACCGACTGTCGAGGCGATCGCCGCAGACTTCGGACGCGGACATGAGCATGGAGGACGCGACGACTCGCTGGTGGCATCGACCGGACGCTTCTGTGGACACCGACGAGAACGAGGACGAGTCCGCGTGGTCGCTGGCGAATCCGAACCTCTTGGACGAGAACGAGGACCAACTTTGATGGAGGGCAAGGAAAGCACAGCCGGTCGAGGCGGTGCTACTGGTAGGCGACAACCTGGTCTTCAAGGATCTCCCGATAGTCCTCTGCAAGCTGAGCATCGACATGCCTTCGTGCTCCGGAAAGGCGTTCAAAAGCGGTTGTTGGGCCAGGTACGTTCTGCAAACGCTTTGCTGGCCACCGAGTTCCATGTGACCCACAACAGTGTTCAACAGGCGAGACGCCTCCGCAAGCATCAGTACGACCTCATTGAGATCTATGGTGGAACGGGAAACATTTCTCAGGCTGCTCTGCAGGCGGGACTGAGAGTCTTGCAGCCCATAGATCACACCACCGGAGTAGACCTGCGCCGAGGCCCAGACCATGATGCCCTTCGTCAACTACTTGTACGCTGGAAGCCGTACCTCGCAGTCTGGGAACCTCCCTGCACAGCGTGGTCTCCATTGCAACGTCTTAATCGTACTCAGGAGGAAATTCGTGAGCTACAACGCGAAGAAGAGGTCAGGCTGAACAAGATGGTCGACACCATCCTCGAGCTATGGCAGCATGGATGTCACTTCGCTATCGAGGATCCGGCTTTCACGAAGTTCTGGAAACATCCTCGAATCCGTCGGCTTGGCCAACTTCCTGGAGTACACTTTGCTGTGGGTTCAATGTGCAGTTTTGGTCTTACGGGGCGTGCCGGTGGACTCATCCGCAAGAACACTGGTTGACTCACAGACCTTCCCCTCGTCCTGGAGCACATAGCAGTGCCGTGTCAAGGAGGCCACGAACACGAACCTTGCCTAGGTGGCAACGCTCGCCCGGCGCAAGAGTACACTCCAGCGCTCGCACAGGCTTTTGTGCGCGGGCTTATTGCGTCCCTAACGGATGATGGCGACGAAAGGTGGTGCCTTGGCCAGGCCTCAACTTCGAGTTCCTCTTGGATAGCCGACATGTCACACACGTGCGACGACCTCCACAAGGTACCACGCGACCATTGGCATCAAGAATGGCAGCCTCCAGGTGATGACGGTGATGATAACCTTTTGTTCGACAAAGCTGAGGTTCTCTTCCTCGATGTCACTCGCCAGGAACACTCCTGGCGACCTTTGCTAGCTGAGGTCCAGGATAAGCTCGAAGGTCGGACGACTCCCTCATTCTTAGTTCTTCCCAAGTCCGACCTGCACGACAAGATCCAAGCCCTGGTGCCTTGGAAATTGATCCGTGTTCAGCTCTTCAGGGCCCCCAAGCAGCGCCGTCTACCTGACGAGGTTCTCCGCGATGGAGCTACTCACCGCATGGCCGCACTGCTGCACAATGATGGTAGTATGAGGATTGAGGCTGAGGCAGTTGCGGCCGTGATTACAGCTCCCAGCTCACGCTTTTCTACGCCTGTGCGTGTGGCAGTATTTGCATATGGTCAGGCTCCGTCTACGTCTTTGAACGAGGCAGATGATCGTTTGCCAGAAAACTCCGCGCCGGCAGCCCCTGCGCGCGCCGAGGCTGAGCCTGAGGACGTGCTTCAGCCGTGGCAACCTGGGTTTCGATCTATGCGCTTCGACATCAGAGTGCCACCGTTGACGCAACAGATGCTGAGGCGAGTCCATGTGAACCTGGGCCACCCGGCAAATGAAACACTGATTCGTATGCTGGTCAGTGCCAATGCGTCCAAGGACGTTCTTCATGCAGCCAAACACCTTGTTTGCGATGTGTGTCTCCGCAATCGACCTCTACCACACGCACGTCCAACTGGGCCATCGCAGCCTAGGCGGTTTAACGACCGAGTGGGTGCGGATCTGATATTTCTGCGAGATATCAAGAGGACAATGTACTGCTTCCTCAACCTTGTGGACTATGCTTCAGCATATCAGATGTTGGACTTGCTTCCGGATCGCTCTGAGGCAGCAGTCATCCGCAGCATCATCAACTCCTGGGGCAGGGTGTTCGGTTTTCCGGACGAGCTGGCGCTAGACGCCGAGGGCTGCTTCCGCAGCTATCGTTTCGAGCAGCTCGCCGCCCAAACATCCACCAAAGTTCGCTTCGTGCCTGCTGAGGCGCATTACCAGCTCGGCATGGTGGAGCGTCACGGACACGCAGCCAAGATGATGGCCCGGAGGCTGATAGACCAGTTCGCCCCGACGGACCGTGACAGCATGATCTTGATCACCACGATGGTCACCCATGCAAAAAATTCCCAGATCCGCCGCTCAGGAGTGAGCCCGTGTCAATTCGTGTTCGGCCGAAACCCACGACTACCTTCAGGCCTTTTGTCTAGCCCGGATTCAGCCGAAACACACGATTTGATTTCCCATTCAGAGCAACTTCGACAAGTCGAAGAGGTTCGCTATGAGGCGATGCGACAACATTGGCACTACGAGAACAGCCAACGACTGAGAGCAGCTATGTTGCGCAAGTCCCGACCTTTTCGCGGGCCTTTCTCCGTGGGACAACCAGTGGCGTTCTGGCGAGATAAGCTACCAGGCGGTGCTCCCGGTTACAAGCAAGGCACGATCATCGCAATGGACCCTCCAGACGCCAATCGGGCAGCTGGTTCCGTATGGGTTCGTACTGACCGAGGACAGCTTACTTTGTGCTCCCGCGAGCAGCTTCGAGCCCTGGGTGGTGAAGATTGGAGTCCTTCGGCAGAAGATCTGCAACACCTCAAGGACGCAGAGAAGGAGTTGGGCGATGATGATGTGTGGGCCTATGAGAACAAGTCTCCCGCTCCCACAGCTACCACGGACCAGCTGGAGGAGTCTAAGTTGGACGCTTCTGGCAATCCCATGACACGGTCGGCCGAGGCTCTTGGTATGGACCCTTTGATGATGGTTCCACCTACTCCTTTGCATCTTCCAAGTACGCCTAGGCCAGACACCGTTCGAAGACGCCGCCTCCCTCGCGAAGAGCATCCAGGATTCCACTTCCTCCGGTTCCTGAAGGAGAACTTGCCGCGCCGGAACCAATACAAGCAACGCTCTCCAGACGTGCATCCACTGCAAACTTAGGACCTGAGTCCTCTGATGGGCAGCTTACTGCAGACCTGGAGAGGTTGATGACTGAGGTGCCTGCAAGCTCCGCGAGCCGACGAACATCGACGTCTTCACTGCCCGAGTCTAGAGGAACCAAGCGCTCTGCAGAAGCAACGCCTGAAGATGTAAGAGCCCAATCTAGTCGGCGCAACTCCGAACAGAGCGTGATACCACTCGGTCAGTCCGAGCAGGCCGAGGCAACAACAAGCTCTACAACCGGTACGGCAGCAGAGGCATCCGCTGTTCTGACCTTTTGTCGTCAGTGCGGCGAACAGGAGCGTGCACAGAACTCAGACGCTCCTGGCCTCGTCTGTGCCAGATGCTTTTCGCCGGAAACGGTCGACGACCCCAGCCTTGTCTTGCAATGGTACGATGACGTGCTGGAGACGGAGGCCTTCGACAAGTACTTCGGCATTCCCGGCTCCTTGCAAGACAACGAGCCCCCGGATAACGACATGCACGAGCACCACGAACATTCAGAATTCGATTCTCTTCAAGTTGCAGACTACGTCAAACGCTTTCCCAAGCGGCAGCAGGATGATTGCAAGAAGCGGCCCAATTTGGGTCTGCTACGACGACATGGACGGTCAGAAGCTCTACGGCGCGGTTGGGATGGCAGCCCATTGGAGGTCCAGCCCATGTTCGAGAATAACAATTATCTGACGATCGCTCATCATTGGGGTGATGCGCCAAGCGAGCACGACTACATGTATGACCTGGACGACCCCGAGGACTTCGAATGCTACATGACGAGCCACATGCCCAGGGCAGTGGCAAGCACACACTACACCGAAGCGCTCTCCGCCAAAATGCTTCAAGAAAGGTGCTTTGATTTCGACACCGCGCTGCAGATTCTCCACGCAGTTCCCTTGTCTGCGACACCCAACAGAAGCGCTGCAGCCCAAGACAATCAAGGCCGGTCCTTTGTCTTTGGCTACTACCGGCATGGTGGCAATGTTGGCGTGACGCGACGCACTCTGGAACATCCGCACTTCACAAGGTACCTGGTGGCATTCATGAAGCATCATGGCTCGGGTCCCATCTCGTCCATCGCCCTGAACTTCAACTTCAAGGTCCAACCTCACCGCGATTTGAATAATGCAGGCGATTCTTGGACGATCAGCTTTGGGTCCTTCAAGGGCGGCCAGTTGTGGGTCGACGGGGATGAAGCTCCAAGGCCTTCCACGACCAAGATTGGCTACCTGAAGACGCCAGATGATCCCCGGCGTCCCGGCTACCTTCTCGATTCTAAAGAGACCATGGTCACGTTCAATCCCAGACTGCTCCACGTGGTCCGTGAATGGACAGGCACCCGCTGGGCTATGACGGGGTACAACCTTGCGGCTCTGGATCAGGCCAGCGATAAGGTGCGACAGCGGCTACGTGACCTTGGGTTCCACGCTGAACCACACCTAAGCCGCTCCACATGCCGTACTACCAGCTTCGTCTCCCATGACCGCAGTGCATGGAATGACCTTCATGTTGAGCAGGCTTACCCTACGAGGGTCTCTGGAGAACCTGAACATGGTGTGAGTATGGAGCGGTCATCCGACGAGGAGGGCGACGATGGCTCTAGAGAACCTGCCGGCCGAGCAGCCAAGCAGGCGCTCAAAAAGGAACTTCCTTGGCAAGCAATGCGCGAAGACGAAGTTCCTGCCTTTGTCCAGGCGGTCGTGGATGAGTGGTCCGAGTGGACCAAGTGGAGTTCGTGCCGACCTGTTTGGTTGGACCTCAAGAAACTGGACCCCTCCTTGATCCTGAAGAGCCGCATCTGCTACAGGTACAAGCCCAAGGATGACGGCACCACCCGCGCAAAAGCACGTATCGTGATTGCTGGGTTCCGTGACCCTCATCTTCCCCTTCTCTCCAGGGACTCACCGGTCTTGAGCAGAGGAGGACTCCTGCTGTTATTGCAGTGGGCAGCGAGTCACGCAGCTGACTTGCACAATGGAGATTGCAAGAGTGCATTTCTGCAGGGCAAGGCGGACGATGAGAGACCTACCAGCATCTTTATGAGGCCGCCGGATGATCCAGTAGCCAAGCAAGCGGTGCCGGAGTGGCGAGATCGCCAGCTGCTCTACAAGCTGTCAGCGCCAGTGTACGGGCAGGCGAACGCTCCCCGTAGATGGTTCCTGTACGTAGTAGACGTTCTGACGGAGCTCAACTGGGTCCAGCATAGTCTAGACCCATGCTTGTTCATGATGAAGATCGACGGACAGATCGTAGCCTTGTTAGGACTGCATGTGGATGATGTCATCGCAGCAGCACTGGCCAACTACACTGCTTGTCTCCAAGGGGTTCGCAATTCATTCGTGTGGGGTAGTCCCTGGAAGACACGTGACTTCACCTTTGTAGGACGACGCATTGTCCAGAACCCCGACAACAGCATCACGGTGGACCAGGAGGCGTACGTCAAGGAGATTGCCACCACGAAGATCAAGCTTCCCTTGGAAGAAAAGCTCGCCAATCATCCTGAGCTCATCACTGAGTTCCGGTCAGGCATCGGGTCACTCCAATGGCTCTCGGGCACCACGAGGGGTGACATCGCGGCGGACACATCGTTGTTGCAGAGATCTCCATCCGAGCTCACCGTCGGCGACCTTCACGAGATCAATGCCACCCTTCGGTATGTGCGCGCGACACCGAACGCCTTTGTGAAGATCAACTCCATACCGATCCCTGAGCTGATCTTCGTGTGCTATGGTGATTCTGGATGGGCCAATGCACCGGGAAACAAAAGTCAAGGCGGTCTCGTCATCACCGCTACATCCAAGGGAGCTCTCAAAGCTCCACAAGTGGCATCCCTGCTTGACTGGAAGAGCTATCGACATCAACGAGTTCTTCGCAGCACTCTTGCAGCAGAAGCAGCCAGCCTGGACAAAGCCGAGGATGCAGGCAACTATCTGGCAGCCATGTTCAGCGAGATGACCAATGTCGAGTACAGGGCATCAACGTCAGGAAGACCTCTCTTCGATGTGATCCCGGTCACGGATGCCCGGTCTCTTTGGGACGCGATCCACAGATTGACGACATCATTCGCTGAGAAGCGTGTCGAGATAGACATTGCAGCACTACGACAGAACTGCAGAGGTTTGCGCTGGGTGCCGACGGAGAAGCAGCTGGCAGATGCGCTTACCAAGCGCAGCAAGCTTCTGAGAGATGCCTTCCGATTGTGGATGCAAAATCCCATTGTGGCTTTGACAGACAGCAAGAGTCCGGAGGACGTGCTGCCTAGTGAGAACAAGGCCTGGCGCGGAGCACAGCCTGTATAGAATGTTGGGAGTGCTAAACATGCACTCTGTCGCTGTGTTGCACAGTTCACCGATGTCAGGCATGTGCTCCCATTGCACTTTACCTGCTGCCGTTAGACTTTCGGGAAGGGCTACGCGTAGAGGAAAGTACTTGTGCCATGTGCGTTGCCTAGATCACAGGCTCCACTTCAAGGCTGCATATCGCACCTAAGCCTGGGCTACTAAACCCTAAACCCTAAACCCCAAGCCCAAACCCTAAACCCTAAACCCTAAACCCTAAACCCTAAACCCTAAACCCTAAACCCTAAACCCTAAACCCTAAACCCTAAACCCTAAACCCCAAACCCTACTGTTTTTATGGACACCCAGTAACTCGCATACAGATTGCATCGTTGTGACATCGAGTGGTTGTGCGAGTGAGCCGGAAGTTCGCAGATTTGAGTCCGCCTCGCGGGTTTAAATGGTGGTTTCCGAAATTGGGGGTACCTTATTTGGGGTCCTTATGATGAAGGAATCCTACTATTTGGGGGTCTTATTTTAGGGTCCCCCATGTTCGTAAACCAGGGGGTGCTGAGCCCCCAGACCCTGCTCCGAAGCACAGTTCACCCCCCCACCTTGGCCTTCATCAGCCACTTCTACACTGCGGGTAGAAGAAGCCCCGACCCCCTAAACCCTAAACCCTAAATCCTAAACCCTAAACCCCAAACCCCAAACCTAAACCCTAAACTTTAAACCCTAAACCCTGAACACCACTCTGAGCCTCAGTTAGGTTGGGCAATCTGCCGTAGCTTCCGGCACCCCACGGCACCCGCCCAGAAGCAAGAAGCGAGAACCCTACACCCAGGTTCAGGGGGTCCGGGTATGGCTTAGGGCGTAGGGTTTAGGGTTTAATATAGGGGTTGGAGTTTCTCAAAGTCAGTCTACTCCTCGAGATCGCATGCTGGAGGTTTTCCAGACAAGCCTCTTCCCATTTGAAGTCGGAAGCGTGCGCAATGCTCCCTGGCTCTTGTGTCATGGGATCGTATACTGCCCATCCCGAATTTAGCCCCTAGCCCAAATAAGGCCCAGATAAGGCTTAGTTGAGGGTTAACCGTGCCTCTTTTTGATTGAGGGGTATAAGGAGGGACCCCTTAGAAGGGACCCTTAGTCTTATTCCCCTGTATAACCCCCATATATATACTTAAGGGCTCCCGCCTTTAGTCTCTTTCCTCTGTTGAGTAGGGCGCAAGTACGGGTGCGGGGTGGGAAAGGAGTCCCTCTAGTAGGTTAGAATTAGACTTCTAATTTGGGGTTGAAGTACCCATGAACCTCCAAGTACAGCGTCGGGGTTTAAAGGTCTAAAGGGCCCAGAGTTGACCGGCTTGATCGAGTTTAGTACAAGTAGTGGGGCTCAGGGTTTAGGGTTTAGGGTTTAGGGTTTAGGGTCTTGTTCCCAGGTGCTGTTGGACCACTTAGAGCGAATCTTTGACCTCGGCCTGGGCCTCAAGGGGTCTCGGGCTTGCGGATTCCTATCTCCAAGGCCCATGTGGCAAGGGTTTAGGCTTTAGGGTTTCGGGTTTAGGGCTCAGGGTTTAGGGTTTAGGGTGTCTCAGGGGAGGGCGCCCGCTCGGGTGTGAAACACCCCGGCCGCGGGCTCGCGTTGCCCGTTAACCCACCCCGGCCACCCAAACTATACTCTATTAGGGTTAGGGTTTATGGATTTTTTCTTGTGCACCGATACTTGCTTTTTTGAAGTTGGTGTTGGGGTTTAAGCTGGAGTGGAGGGTAGCCTCGGCCCTTTATTCAAAAATCGCATTTTTCATTGCGGGCACGGACAAATCCTGGGGTCCCCCCTCTTTTAGGGGGCTTTTTGAAGGTTTTGAAGCCTTTTGGTGGCTCTTGGTGCCCTTTGGGGGCTTCCTGCACTTTCTTGGCGGCCCAAACCATCGATTCCAGTATTAAACAACCTTTTTGGCGTGTGACGGGGGCCCTCACCGACCCTCTGGCAGGGGCAGGGGGCCCCCCAACAGGGGGGCCCAGCAAACCCTGGCCATGGTAAAGGTGGTCTGGGTGCCGGCATCCCTTAGCCGAGTAAGAGTACTGACGTTGTCGTAAAAAAGGCCGATGTCCGTTGGCCTGTCCAGGACAGACGGTGAGGCTTAACCCTCACCTTTCCGTTTCTCTTTTCGCTTGGGCTCTCGGGCTGTAAAGCCCTCGGCCGAGCGTTCGGGGTTTGTCGCTCGACGGAAGCGACCCCTCACTTAGTTTAGGGTTCAGTGTTTCAGGGTTCAGGGTTCAGGGTTCAGGGGGCTGCTCTGGTACTGCTTTAAAATTCGTAAACCGAAAGCCACGGTTGAGGGCTTCGCGAGCATGGTTCGTGGGTTCCCGGCGTTTCGAAGCCTTGCGAGCATTCGGCCTGAACCACCCCGAACCCCTGAAGCCCAAAACCCTACAAAGCCCGCCTTAAAGCTAAACCCTAAGCCTAAAGCCTAAACCTTAAACCCTAAATCTCATAACTCTGAACAAGCCCTACAGCCCATCAGGCCGTGTCTACCACGACTTCTACAGTGGAACTCTGCAGGAGTCGCCCGGCAGTCTAGATTTTGGATGTTTTTTTGCCGCGGCTTTTGCTGGCAAACCCCACGCCCCTCAAGGCCCGCAACCCCATCTAAACCCCCAAACCCTAAAACCCTGCACCTCCCCCCGCCCCCCCCCAACCCTAAACCCAAGAATTGGGTTTGGTCTGGGTTGCTGGGCCAAGGTTTTTCCGCTTGCGAAAAACCTGAAAGCCCAAGCCACGAACATCTCCAAAAGCCTGAACCCTGCGAGTAATATAGGGGCCTTAAGGATTAGAATAATGGTTTTGGGGGGTTATAGAAAAATCTTTGGGGAATGAGAGATTTTTTTTAGTAATTCTTACGGCCCCTATATTGCCTTCCCCCCTATAAGGCCAAAAGCGCTGCCACCCCATGGCCCCAAGAAAACGTATAAACCACGAGAAGCACACAACCGTATAAACCCCAAAACTTCAAAACCCCAAGCTCTAAACCCTAAACGCTGTCAGTTCACAACCCCCAGAAGCCCACAAAAGTTCCTGAAAAGCTGAGGAACGACGGGCCCCTGGCGCTTCGCGCCTCGCTTGTCAAGCGCCTCAGCGAGTTTGCCCCTGGGCACGGAGTTATTCTGCTCTGGGGGTTTGGGGCTTAGGGTTTCGGATTTAGGGTTTAGGGTTTAGGGGTGGAAGGTTGGAGGGTTCAGTTTTACGGTAGGAGGGTTTAGGCTTGAGGGTGCGCGCGCTGGGTATGGTGTTTTTTTCTCGACGTTCTTGTGTTAGTAGCATTTTTTGTGTAACTTTTGTCTTTGGCAATCAAGAACGAATAGCGTGCTCATTCCAAGCCCCTATACTCCAAAACTGGCCTTGCACCCCCCTAAAATGCCCAAACCTTGAACCCTAAACCCTAAACCCTAAACCCTAAGCCCTAAACCCTAAACCCTAAACCCTAAACCCTAAACCCTAAACCCTAAACCCTAAACCCTAAACCCTAAACCCTAAACCCTAAACCCTAAACCCTAACCCCTAACCCCTAAACCCTAAACCCTAAACCCTAAACCCTAAACCCTAAACCCTAAACCACAGCAAGAGTCGAAGCGCTGGCGAAGATCTGAAATCGCACTGGGTTTAGCGTCAGGGTTTAGGGTTTAGGGTTTAGGGTTTAGGGTTTAGGGTTTAGGGTTTTGGGTTTATAGTTTCTGAGTTGTAGGAATTCAGGGGCAGGTTTGGGGTCTCAGGGCGAAAAATTCTGGACTCAGGGTCAGGGCTTAGGGACCCTAAACCCTAAACCTAAACCCTAAACCCGTTTGGGGCTTAGGAGGATCGAGGCTGAGAGCTTAAGCCATGGCTCCACCCTCGAGCCCCAACAGCAGGGGACCCTTAAGGTTGTACCCTTGGGTTTGGGGTTTAGGGTTTAGGGTTTGGGGGGCCTTATTAAAGATTCCTCTAAGGGAGTATAAGGGCCATGTGAGGAGCATATTAAGGGGAACCTGTAGGGGTACAACCTTGGGGGTACGACTCTGAATCCATTGCCAACTCCTAAAGTTCAACCCTAAAGCCTAAACCTGGGTCGAGACTGGCGCTGAGGCCTTCGGCAACGAGGGCGACCCTGAGGCGCCACAGTGGCTCCAAAGTGTCAATTCTAACCCCTTAAACCCTAAGCCCTAACCCTAAACCCGAAGCCCTAGGCCCTACAACCTAAACCCTAAACCCTAAACCCAGTTTTAGGGAAACCTCCCAGGGCTACGCCTACCCGCAGCCTTCTGGGCCGGCTCCACCACCACCGAAGGTGGGCTCAAGTCTGCAGGAGCTTTTGAAAGGGGTGAGGTTTTCTCCAGGGTGTACATGCGCTGCCGCTGTCCGGGTGACCCTCTCGCTCAAAGCCCTCAACCCTCAACCCTCGACCCTCAACCCTCAACCCTCAGAACCCTAACCCCCAAACCCTAAACCCTAGACCCTAAACTCTTAAACCCCACACCCTAAACCCTAAACCCTCTGAAGCCCGAGGGTAGCATCTCCCCTGCCTCGGCGTTGGAGCTCATCGGCTCCTCGGCACCCAAGAAGGGAAAGGGTTTAGGGTTTGGGGTTTAGTGTTCAGGGTTCAGGGTTTAGGGTTTGGGGTTTGGGGTAAATTAGGGCCCTATATATATATATATATATACCCTGTAAGGGATCAAAAATATAGGGTACCTCATTCCTTCATTCCCTGCTAAGAACCAGCCAGAAGATTGCGCAGGGAAGCAGAGAGCAAGTCTCTGCCGCGAAGCTCCTTTCAGCCGCTGACAAAGGAGCCCCAAGTGCTTACCACTATCACCCCCTTATATCAAGCGGGGAGGCTTAAATAAAGTAGCCAAACCTTTGAAGCCAAGGAAACTTCTTCTACCATGCCCACAGCAGGGAGCAGTGCCCTCCCGCACCGGGATGCGCGAATGCCTCGGCTCACGAGGCGTCGTTGGGATTTTGAGGGGCTTTGGGTTGTTCATGCACGGTTCCTTGGGTGATTTCGGGTTTAGGATTAGGATGTTCCCCCTTTTCCTAGCAGTCCTTAATTGGTATTCTAATGGGGCGTACTATCATCCCTACTAAGGACCGTGAGTATAAGAGCGGCCATCCCAAGTTTAGGGTTCATTTGGGGTTTTAGGTTTGGGTTTTGATGGCTTCTACGGTTTGAGGGCTTCAAAGCTTTGAGGCTGTATGGCTGTGGGGTTGAGGTTTATATGCGTTTAGCAAGAGGGTTGGGGCTTTGGGGTTGCGGGTTTCGGGTTTAGGGTCTAGATTTTAGGGTGCAATCACGCATCGGAGCATGATCTGAACCAAGGTCAGGTCAGGGCCAGATGCATGGTTTTGTTTGGTTGTACCCAAAGCGAGACTGACAGGGCCTATCGCCCGTAAGTTGAGGGTTTAGAGTTTAGGGTTTAGGGTTCAGGGTTTCGGGTTTAGGGTGTAGGGGTTTATGGCCTAGGGCTTAGGGTTTAGCAACAAAGAGGTGCTGCTGGTGCACTACCATCGCCTGGCTCCCCTCCACATGCGGAAGGCCTTCTGTGGCTTGGCACATGGCAGTGGGAGCACCGGACTCCGCAAGCCTACAAGTACAGGGTTTAGGGTTTAGGGTTTAGGGTTTAGGGTTTAGGGTTTAGGGTTTAGGGTTTAGGGTTTAGGGTTTAGGGTTTAGGGTTTAGGGTTTAGGGTTTAGGGTTTAGGGCTTAGGGCTTAGGGCTTAGGGCTTAGGGGGTTTCAAGGGGTATACAACCCAAGGTTCCCTAATACTCCCTACTACTCCCTAAGGCTCCCTGAGCTTCCCCAGGGTTCCCTAGGTACCTAGCCGCCAGGCCCAACCAAACCCTGGCCCTTACCCAAATCGTTTGGATGGGTTCTTTGTTTCACTTGACCGCCTGCAGATGCTGCATCCGAATCGTAATTAAGGAACATGCACCCGTATTTGTCGGTCTTGGGCAATGAAAGAGCTTGCCTTTTGGGGGTTCTGGCGCTCAGGGTTGAGGGTTTCGGGCTGAGGCAACTACTACCACTTCACCACAGTGGCGCTGTCCCGTTTGGTGGCGTGCCCTGGGTGCAGACAGACCGTGACTGAATTCGTTTGTGAGGTGGTGTTTAGGGTTCATGGCTTGGGGCAATGCTAAGCCCTCAGCCCCATACCCCTAGCACAAAAGCGCCTTCGTTGTCAAGGACACCTCCCCTATTCAACCAAACCCTCCTAGGTTTTGCCTGAATCCCTCAAAAAAAGCCCTGAGCCCCTAAAGTTGCTCGGCGCCCAAGGCCTAAGACCCCTGTAAGCCTGCAGCCCCGCCCCGATGTTGTTTTCTTGCTGTTCAGGAACTTTAACCAAGTTACCAAAACAAGGGACGCCGTTCATTACTTCCCACAGATATGTATATATATATATATGCTACCCCCCCCCCCAGCGACCTACCCTTTTTAGGCCTTTTTAGGCCTTTTTAACAAAAAATGACAAAGAAGGCCCAAAAGTCGCGTAGTTAATCACCGGGTAATGAAGGACAGTTACTGGGACACCCACCTCACAGACCCCGATAAGCTAGCATTGGAAGAATCTACATTTTGAATCTGAAGCGGACAATGCTGTTTTTAGATGTTTAGATCAGTGTTTTTTGTATGCAAATTGTGCGTTTCAAGGGCAATTAATGTTTTGTTGAGCAACTAATTTATTTATACAATTGTGTTTGTACGAGGCAAAGTATTGATCAAATAGTGAAAAAATATTCTTGGTTCTATGCGAATTTAGCTACTAGAGTAATTATTCAGCAAAGAGCCCAATTTGACTCAAGTGAATACTATTTAAAGGAGCATACTCAACCAAGATACGAAATAAACACCATTTTCAACCAAAAAATGGCAAAGTGTGCGTTTAAAGTGTAAATACTGTATTTATACAATTGTGTTTGTACTAGGCAAAGTATGCTCTCTGAAAAGTCCACTGAAATACCTTATGTTTACATATTCATGAATCGTTTTTCTTTTTGAAATAATCATTTTATGCGAATTTAGCTACTAGAGTAATTATTAAGCAAATAGCCCAATTTGACTCAAGTGAATACCATTTAAAGGACCATACTCAACCAAAATACGAAAGAAGCACCATATTCAACCAAAATATGGCAAAGTGTGGTTTAAAGGGCAAATAGTGCTTTGTTGAGCAACTAATGCATTGAAACAGTTGTGTTTATACCAGGCAAAGTATTATTGAAGTACTATCTGCAAAGTCAAATGAAACACCTTATGTTTACATATTCATGAAACAATTTTTTTGGAGTATTCATTCTATGCGAATTTAACTACTAGAGGAATTCTTAAGCAAATAGCCCAATTTGACTCAAGTGAATACTATTTAAAGGACCATACTCAACCAAATACGAAATAAACACTTGCGGAAATGGAAACGGTTCTACCTACATAACAATGAGACAAAGATTGCTGAAGTATTCACTAAAGACCACTTATATACTATGTCTGAAAAGCACAATTTGCATGAGCAAGCTTAAAGATGCACAATAATGGAAATAGAAGCGGTTCTACTTACGTAACGATGAAACAAAGATGTCTGAAGTACTCAATAAAGACCACATATATACTATGCTTGAAAAACGCAACTTGCACAATCAGGCTTAAAAATGCACAAGAATCCTAGAAAAGTACTTAGTGAAGGCCATACACAAGCAAATTCACAAATACATAAAAACATCCAAAAGCGCAAGCTTTTCAGGAGAATCTCTGGTAAAGTTTGGATTATAGGGTTTTGGGGTATTCCTGGACGAGTAGGAGTCACTTTTTAAGCAAACAATTCTAAGCAATAAATGCTTTTTCTCAAGACAAGTATTGCAAATGCTGCTTCTAGATAATTAATCGCATTTACCAGGCAAATATTATCCATGCGAATTGAGCTACCAGAGCACCAAGTAATGGCTGAATAAGGCCTACTACACTTGAGTACAACCAAAAGATGCACTAAACACTAGCGGCTCTACTTACATAATAACGAAACAAATAGTTCTGAAGCACTAGAAAGACCACTTGTATACTATTTCTGAAAAGCACAATTAGCATAAGCACACTTAAAAATGCGTAGTTGTTGCCTCGTGACCGTGAAGGCGAACCAAAAAGCCAAAATACCAAAACCAAAAAACCAAAAATACCAAAACCAAAAAAACCAAAAAAACCAAAACCAAAAAAACCAAAAATACCAAAAAAACCAATTTTCCGGGACTCTTGGAGAAGCCTCATAGGGATTTCCTGAGAGTCCCGGAAAATTGGTTTTTTTGGTATTTTTGGTTTTTTTGGTTTTGGTTTTTTTGGTTTTTTTGGTTTTGGTTTTTTTGGTTTTTTTGGTTTTGGTTTTTTGTTTTTTTTGGTTTTGGTATTTTTCGTTTTTCTACTGTCCCGTGTATGCGATTTTAGTTGTATTTTAGTCTACGCCCTAGGAAATACGCTATATTGTACACCGAGTTTGCTTGCAGTGCAGCTGGGTGACTTGAGACAAGGCGAAAAAGGGTAGGTCACTGGGGGGGGGGGGGGGTACCATATATATATATATATGTATATATATATATATAAATATCCATCAATTATGATAATATAGTTTGTTCTTCCTTCCTAAGCCCCAAGCCCGAAGGCCCAAAACCTTAAACCCCAAAATCAGTAAACTCCTAAAACTTTAAGCCCCAAACCTAAGACCTAGTTTTCGCCAAGCGAGAGGCTGCTTCCACGCCTTCAAGCTGATCCTAGCATCGTACCCTGGCGCGCAGGTTTGGGGATTTGGGCTTGGGGTTGGGATGTTCCCCCCTATATTAGCAGCCCCATTCAGGACTTTAGTATAAGGGGGAACATCCCAAGCTTGGGGTGTTTAGGGCTGTAGGGCGTCACCCAACGCCTAAACTTAAACAGCCCCGCATCGTTCCCGTGTTGAGCCCAGGTGATCACAATTCCACATCCCAACAAGCTCCTCGACTTGGTGGTTTCCGAGATGAGAGGTACCTTATTGGGGTCCTTATTATAAGGGAGCCCTACTATTTGGGGGTCTAATTTCGGGGTCCCCTAGTTTCGTAAACCACCACTTAGGGCTTAGTTCGTATGGGCCCTTAAGGTGGGAGACGTTATGCACCCCTCATGTGTTCTTTTCAGCCAAAGGGCCCATACTTTCGAAGCCTCTCTGAGACAGGTAAGGGACCAAATCAAGGGAGCATGTAGCCCTAAACCCTAAACACTAAACCTTAAACCCTAAACCTTAAACCCTAGACCCTAGACCCTAAGGGCCCTTTCGGGTGACATGCAGGGCGTAGCCTTCGCCACCTTCTGCCGTGGCTAACTAGGGTTTGGGGTTTAGGGTTTAGGGCTTAGGAATTAGGGTCTAAGGGTATAGGGTCTTCGGGCACCTGGCCAAGAGCCTGAAGCCCATGAAGGCGCCTCATTGCCATGCATGGCGCAAGCCCCATAGAATGGCCCAAGCGGATCCCCTAAGCCACACAGACCCATCAAGCCCTGCAGACCTAAAAGGTTAGGTTTTCCCAACAGCCCCAGTCGCAACCCTCAACCCCAAGCCCCAAGCCCTCAGCCCTACGCCCTAAACCCTAAACCCTAAAACCCCTCAAAAAATAGCCTGCAAGAGTCCCCAGCCGCCCCCCTGTGGGGGTTTGCGAGGAAAGGCCAGCGCTCTCCCTACATCCGCGACAGCCTCCGGCTGCTTGGCCGGGCGCCTCAACGGTTTGTTTGTTGTGAATTTAGGGTTTAGGTTGTAGGGCTTAGGGTGCAGGGTTCAGGGGTCAGGGTTTAGGTTGTAGGGTTTAGGGTTTAGGGTTTAGGGTTTTAAGGTTTAGCGTTCAGGGTTTAGGGTTTTCGAGGGGCTTTCTGAGGCCTCTAGTGTTTTGATGTCGGAATTGGGGTGAGCTTGGGGGTTGGCGCTCCTCAACCTTAAGCCCACGAAGGATGAGCCACACAAGGAGGGCCCCCCCTTCCTAACCGCAGTTGAAGGACTTGAGAACCCAATTTGAGGGTTTCGGAAGTTTGGGGTACCTTATTGGGGTTTCGCTGGTTTAAGGGAATCCTACTATTTGGGGATATTCGGGGTCCGCTATCTTCGTACACCCCCCCATTTAGGCTCCTTAGAACCCGACTTATCCCCCTGGTTCTGAGGAGGGAATGAAGGAATGAGGCCCTAAACCCTAAACCCTAAACCCTAAACCCTAAACCCTAAACCCTAAACCCTAAACCCTAAACCCTAAACCCTAAACCCTAAACCCTAAACCCTATATAAGCCCTTAAAGGGTAGAAGTTATGCCCTCATTCCCTCATTCCCTACTCAGAACCAGGGAGTTCGAGCTGTCGTACGAAAGTTGCCCTGATGGTGGCACAGCGCAGAAGTCCTTTAGAGCCAGTGCCTCGGACCCTAAACCGTAAATAGGGTTTAGGGTTTAGGGTTAGGGTTTAGGGTTTAGGGTTTAGGGAAACCCCTGAAGCCCGCAGACAGAGAAGTCTGCTTATTTCCTAGACTGCCAAACGTGCAAGTTCTTATATAGTAGGGTGTTAGGGCGTTCGGTACCTTATTTTGTATCTTCTGATTTTTAAGTGATCATACAGGGTGCCGAATTCTCCGGGTTTCCCTACTAAGAGCCAAGGTAAACCATAAACCCTAAAAAACCCTACACCCTGCACCCTAAACCCTAAACCCTAAACCCTAAACCCTAAACCCTAAACGCCTTTCTGCAAGGCCTGGAAGACCATCGCATCGTGGAGTTCCCACCTTGCCGTGTCGTCTTCGCTACCGAGGCTCCTTCCCTAGAGTTTAAGGCCTCTGGGTGTGCTTAAAGGTAGTTTCATGGGCCCTTCATCTGGTCCCTAATCTCCTTTAAAGGGTTTTGATGTATGGGCCCTTAAATTGGTGTAGGGTATATAGGGGGCACCGTCTTAAGGGCCCATATGAAGGGACCATGAAACAGTGTGAGGGGCCTCAAGCCAGAACGCCGAGAGGAACGCTTTGAAGCCTCCAGAAGGAGACTTTCAAAAGGAGGGTTTAGGGTTTAGGGTTTAGGGTTTAGGGTTTAGGGTGTAGGGTTCCTGAACCCTACTTGGAGGTTCATGGGTGCTTATAACCTCAGGTAAAACTGCACTTATGAGCCCCCTAAGTCCCCGGCTAGACTTACATTTGGGGCTATAACTACCCACGAACCACTGAGTAACCCCCCGGGGCATTCATTCCTGAGGAGTCCTCCTTGTGCTCCCTATATACCCCACAACCCCTATAAACTAAATCCCTATAAAACCCCGAAAAAACACCTATAAACTAAATCCCTATAAACTAAATCCCTACAAAACCCCTTAAAACCCCTATAAACTCCCCCCAAAAACCGCCCTCTACGCTCCTGGAAGCCCGCAGCCCGAAACCCGAAACAGGTCCTCCTCGCCGGCGCTGGGCCCCGTGCCACCCTTGGCCGAGATGCGGAGGGACGAGCTCGGGCCGCCTGGTGGCTCGAGTTTGGGGTTTAGGGTTTAGGGTTTAGGGCTAGGGTTTAGGGTTTAGGGTTTAGGGTTTAGGGTTCAGGGTTCAGGGTTCAGGGTTCAGGGTTCAGGGTTCAGGGTTCAGGGTTCAGGGTTCAGGGTTCAGGGTTCAGGGTTTACGGATCAATCTTCTCAGAAAAGTTAGAGCTTTAGGTTTGAGAATTTTGGGGCTTCATCTTTGGTGATGACAGCGGCTTCGAGTGTCAAGGTTTAGGGTCGAGAGTTTACAGGCTGTAGGGGTTAATTCGGGCTTTGCGTCTTGGGAGTTCAAGCCTATCGGAGCTCTAGTGTTCAGTCGTGTTTTTGTGGTTTGGGGCGCATTTCGTCGTATGAGGTTTTCAGGTAGACGCCGTGGTTTGCTCCCTCTGTCTGTTGCGTGGCGCTACCCTAATCCCCAAGCCCTCTCCTAAAATCCCTAAACCCGAAACCCTAAACCCAAAACCCCACATGCCTTTTTTTGGAGCAGAGGCGGCGGTTGCCGTGATTTCATGGTGGAGCTTGGAGTTTGGGGTTTGGGAGTTTGGGGCGACGCGGTCTCGGAGTTCTTGGCAAAAGAGGGTTTAAGGTTTAGGGAGGGTTTAGGGTTTAGGGTTTAGGGTTTAGGGTTTAGGGTTTAGGGGTTTAGGGTTTAGGGTTTAGGGTTTAGGGGTTTAGGGTTTAGGGTTTAGGGTTTAGGGGTTTGGGGGTTTGGGGTTTAGGGTTTGGGATTTTAGGGTGCCAACTCGGGGTGCCCAATACCCCCTTCATCATGGGAGTGACTTAGGTAAGGGGTTTCGGGCTCTCTTGGGCCTGGGGGCTGACCCACAGGGAAGTAGAGTCCACCCCAGTTGCGCTTTGAGGCATGTTGGGGATTTACAGGCTTCAGTTTTAGGGCTTGGGGTTCGGAGGGTGCCAGATCCCCTAAACCCTAAGGTCTGGGGTTTGGGGTTTAGGGTTTGGGGCTTAGGGTTTAGGGTTAGGGTTGAGGGCTTTGGGTTGAGGGTTTATAGGACTTAAAGTTCACGAAGCCCCTTCAGGCGATCATGGCTGATGTGGCGGATGCCGCGCCAACACGGCGCGTGCGCAAAGCGGTGCTCGCGCAAGCCAGGCGCGGGTGGTGGGGACTGGGGACTTCGGGCAGGGTTTAGGGTTTCAGGGTCCATTTTACAGACTCTTTTGGGCTTGCAGGATGATTATCACTATTACTATTACTATGATTATTATTATTATTTTCATTATTAGTAGTAACAAGTACGATTATTATTACTACCACTACTACCACTACCACTACCACTACCACTACTACTACTACTACTACTACTACTACTACTACTACTACTACTACTACTACTACTACTACTACTACTACTACTACTACTACTACTACTACTACTACTACTACTAGTACCTACTACTATTACTACTACTACTACTACTACTACTACTATTATTATTATTATGATTATTATTATTGTTATTCTTGTTGTTATGATTATGATTATTATTATTATTATTGTTATTATTGTTGCAGTAGTACGGTTGTAGGGTTTGTAGGGCTATTTGGGGTTTGAGCTTGCCGTGGCAGAATTTTTTCCTAGCATCGCTTTTCGAGCTACGCCATCTTCAATCAACGAAAGGAGTGGCCTCCCTACACCCTAGGCAATAGGGCCTTCTGGGAGGGGGGTCTCATTGGGGTAGAAGATTAGGGAAGCTTGGGGAGCCTGAGGGAGTATTAGGGAACCTTGGGTCACATAACCCCCTTGAACCTCCACCCCCCCCTTAAGAACCCTATAACCTACAAGCTGCGCCATAAACTTTGACTCCGAAACCCTAAACTACCCTAGACCCTAACCCTAAACCCAAAACCCTAAACCCGAACCCTAAGCCCAAACCCTAACCCTAACCCCTAAACCCTAAACTCTTTGAAATCTTTCGAGTTCCCAGCACTTTCCCAGGGCAAGCGGCCTGCCTGGTGGCGTGCTGCTGATCGACCGCCGCGAGCGCCGTGCCATCGCCAACCTGCCCGAGGCTTGGAAGCTTTCTGGTCGCGTTTGGGGTTTAGAGTTTAGGGTTTAGGGTTTAGGGTTTAGGGTTTAGGGTATAGGGTTCAATTAGTTGAGTTAAGAATTCTAGGGTTTAGAGGGTTTTTCGAGATTTATAGGGTTTGTAGGGTTTGTAGGGTTTGTAGGGTTTGTGGGGCTTATCGATGTCCCATATGCCCCGAAACCCTAAACCCAACATCTTTTCAACCTACAAGCCCTCATATCATGGGTTCCCCTACTCCCCCCATAATTAAGGCTATTTAGGGAGAATTGCGGTAGTAGGGAAACCCATGATCACACCCTGCAAGCCTCAAGTCCCTCCAGCCCTAAGCCCTAAGCCCTAAGCCCTAAACCCTAAACCCTAAACCCTAAACCTTAAACCCCAAACCATGATCACACCCCCCAAGCCCCAAGTCCCTCCAAGATGCACAGGTGAGGAGCTCTTTGCGGATGCTGCCGGCCAATGTCGCGGCCGCAGCTTCTTTCCTTTGGGCCGAGTTGTTGTTTTTTCTTTTTGCATTTTCTTGAGGGGCGCGAGTAGCAGTGTTACCTGTAACATGGGCTGAATCCCTTTTGACAGTAAGTTGGGTTATGGGGATGATAAGCAGTTCTTTTGTGGAGACTAAGTAGACCTACCAAGTCAAAAGAGATTCCAAGTACGGCCTGAACCCTAAACCCTAAAACCTAAACCCTAAACCCTAAACCCTAAACCCTAAACCCTAAACCCTAGACCCTAGACCCTAGACCCTAGACCCTAGACCCTAGACCCTAAACCCTAAACCCTAAACCCTATAACTGCCGCAGCCCCTTGGCCGAGGTCTCGCTGGCGTATTGCGAGAACCTGACCTTCGCCGAGCCACTGGGCTTGGGGATTCAGAGGGCTGGCTTCGAAGGTTTAGGGTTTAGGGTTTAGGGTTTAGGGTTTAGGGTTTAGGGTTTAGGGTTTAGGGTTTGGGGCTTAAAGGGTTTAGGGTTTAGGGTTTGTAGGGTTTAGGGTGGGTTTCGGGTTTTGGGGTTTAGGGCTTTTAGGACTTCTAGGGCTTGTAGGGTTTAGGGCTTCGGGCTTATGGGGCTTATGGGGCTTATGGGGCTTATGGGGCTTATGGGGCTTATGGGGCTTAGAGGGCTTATAGGGCTGATAGGGCTTATACGGCTTATAGGGCTGATAGGATTTAGGGCTTAGGGGGTTTCGGGTCTCGGGTTCAGTAGGATCTCCTCACAAGTTTCTGCTCGGATGCTTTCGTCTTCTTGTAGGTGTTGGGGGCTCACTGCTTGGATAGTATCCCCTAGAAACCCTAATATAATCCCCAAAACCCATGCTCTAAACCCTAGACCCTAGACCCTAGACCCTAGACCCTAGACCCTAGACCCTAAACCCTAAACCCTAAACCCTAAACCCTGCTAGCCCTACTTACTAAGTCAAAAGCGCTTCCAAGTGGGCCTTGTCTCAGGCAAGTAGCTGCCTTCGCGGCTGCCGATGCAGTTGTGGCCATCAGTGGCGCCTGCCTGGCCAACAGCCTTTACATGCGGGAGTCTCGGCAGAACCCTAAACCCTAAACCCTAAACCTTAAACCCTAAACCCTAAACCCTAAACCCTAAACCCTAAACCCTAAACCCTAAACCCTAAACCCTAAACCCTAAAAGGAAGGCACATGCAGAGTGGCTCGGGTGGTGAGGCTTGGCAGTTTGGGATTAGACTCATCTTGGGCAACGGGAGGTTGAGTGAGTTTTGTGCCTCTTCTTGGGTCTAGTCATACTGCCCTGTACCGACTCAAGGGAGCACCCACAAAGAGGACGCCCTGCGCAAGGCAAATTGCTTGCAATGCAAAAGCGGCCGTAGTCTTTTGGGGACCTGCCATGTAGGGTGTCGAACATGCCGTAGGAGGGAGCCCCATGGATTTCTTTCCATAGTCCTTGAAAACGTCGTAGTAGTCCCGAAATAGTGCCCGGAAAAAGTATTCTCCCTAAACCCTAAACATTCCTCAGCCCCAACCCCTCCGTTACAAACTCGCCCTAGACCCTAGATCCTAGATCCTAGACCCTAAACCCTAAACCCTAAGCCCTAAACCCTAAGCCGCACCTCTCTAGTCCCTCAAAGGAAGGCTCCCTTGTCGTCGACCTGGTCCCGGTGAAGAACTACATGGGCGCGGACGTCGTGATGCCGCTGCAGCCTGGCGTGGTTGGGAGCTGAAGAGTTTAGGGTTTAGGGTCTACAGGGTTTAGGGTTCAGGGTTTAGGGCTTAGGATTTCGGGTTTAGGGTTTAGGGCTTAATTAGGGTTTAGGCCTTAGGGTTTGGGGTTTAGGGTTTAGGCTAACATCCTAAAAGCCTAAGAGCCCTAAGCCCTCATGTTGCACAAAACCCATATGAACCCCTTTTTCCCCATCTGTACATAGCCCGTATGCTAGGCCTGAGCCTGGAAGTTAAGTTTCGGACATCGAAGTCGACTGGCAAGGAACGGAGATCCGTGCATTGCGGCAGGGTCCTTGTCATTGCCTTTTGGTGAGTGCTTCTAGGGTTCTTTGTATAGATGCCTGTATGTATGTATGTATGTATGTATGCATGTATGTATCTAGGTGAGTGTTCTATTTGGGAAATAGTGAAGATGCTACCTGACGCATCTCATGCAAACTCTGACATCCTGTTGACTCTGAAAGAGGTTCATTTGAGTCATGGGCCGTTTCTGTTTTGGAGTATACTCCTTTCAGTTTTGGAAGCTTAAAAGGCCCATGGTGTCGGGACAACCCTACTCCAAACGTGAAGCCCTTACCTCTATAACCATCCTGTCGAGCACAAGGCACTGCGGGGTCACCTGGTTCTGGACCCTCACCCAGAGCCTTGGCTTTGGCGAAACGGAGTTTCGGGGTTCGCGCGCATGTTGAACACGAGCGATTCAGACATCGGCCGCGATTTCTCACGAAATCCTGATTCAGGAAGCCATCAACTAGGCTTTAGGGTTTAGGGTTTAGGGCCGAAGTTTGGGGTTTAGGGCTTAGGCTGTGAGCTTCTCTCTTTTTACTCGGAGCTTGGAGACCTCAGGAACGTGAATGTCCGCTACCGCAGCCTCATGCTGCCGGAGGGCGATCTTGATGCGGACACCGTGGAGGTACCCGCCGCTCGGCGCGCCCCAAAGGGTTTAGGGTTTAGGGTTTCGGATTTCGGGTTTAGGGTCTAAGATTGAGGGTTTAGGGTACTGGGGTTTAATTGCGGGTTTATGTCGACACCCCAGACCCCGAACCCTTAAACCTTTAAGCTGGTCTATGAAAGAGCTGAGGCGCAGCTGCTGCGAGAGCTGCTGCTGAAGGAGCTCCGGCCGGCAGGAGCTCCTCCGCATGACGCCGAGGCCTCATGCCTTTGACGTCAAGGGTCAAAGTTCAGGGCTTAGGCTTGTTGACCCGACAAGTCTACACACCCTCAGAAAGCCTGAAACCATTTTAAGCCCCAAACCCTAAACCCTAAACAACTTAGAGCCCTGATCCCCAAGCCGCACAATCAGGCCGCCGCGGCGACCTGCCAGTTGGGAGGCCGCTGCCAAGCGAGCCAGGAGTCGGGGGGGGGGGGGGGGGGGGGGGGGGGGGGGGGGGGGGGGGGGGGGGGGGGGGGGGGGGGGGGGGGGGGGTTAGGGATTCGGGGCTTAGGGTTTAGGGTTTAAAGGCTTCAGGGTTTGGGGTTTGGGGTTTGGGGTTCAGGGCACAATTGAGGGTTTAGGGTGAGAGGGATACCATGGTGCAGGATTTAGGGCTTGAGCTTTGGGTGTTTTAGGGCTTTGGGCGTTGTAGGGTTTTAGGGTTTATAGGGTTTATAGGGTTTATAGGATTTATAGGGTTTATAGGGCTTATAGGGCTTATAGGGCTTATAGGGCTATTGGGCCTTGTAGGGCTTTAAGGCAAGAGGAGATTTGGCGGGTTGTAACGGTTGAATTAGACGATATTCGGGCCAGTCGGGCTTTTGTGGGGGTGCTGTAGGTTCCTGCGCTTTTCGCAGTTAGGGTTGGTCCGAAGTGTGTTAGCTTTCGTCTTTGGGTTGTAACGTTGCCTGTTTTCGGGTTTAGGGTTCATAAACCCTAAACTCTAACCTCCAAAGACCTGAAGCGCTCCGGAAGCCCAAAGCCCGCCCGAAAGAGGCGTGCCCCTCCCCGCCCATTACCGCTCTGCCCAAGCTCTGCGCCACGCCGGCGCGCTTCACAGTCTCGGGGTTGCCCTAAACCCTAAAACCCGAACCCCTAGACCCGTAAGGGTTTAGGGTTAAGGGCTAAGGGTTTAGGGTTGAGGGGTTTAGGGGTTTAGAGGCCTCGGCGTTGCCAGCTTCTTTTTTTAGGGTTTCTCATCAGCTGAACCCCAGACCTGGATTTCAGCTGTGTTTGGGTTCGGAGGTTCTTGGGATTGCGCTTTTAGAGCAGTGGTGTGTTTGGGGCTGTTTGGCATGCATGATTCTGTAGGTGGTTTGTTCTGCGCTTGTTTACCTGATTCCCTTGGGAGGACACGGTTCCAAGGGTGGTGGTCCCTAGAACCTAACCCTTAAATCAGCCTGAGCCAGGAAGTGTCCTCTCTAAATTAGGGCGCCCTTTGAGCTGGGCGTAGCCTGTTTGTTAAACGGAATCCTTGGAGAAGATCTATCTACAGTGGAACCCAATCGAGAACAGCCCCCCCCCCCAAGCGTAAACCCAGCCGAGCAGCACTACGGGTTTATAGGACCTCTAGGATCTATCTGACTTTTCATTGTAGGATTTAGAGAGGGTTGAAATAGGATTTATGGGACTTTTTTTCTAGGATTCGTATGGATTCATCGTGTTGGGGGTTTGCGTACGGGCGAAGCCCATCTCATGGCAGCTAAGCTTACCCTTCAACGCCCTGCTGGGATCTCCGGGTGAAGTTCTACCCGGGACCCCGGATTCCTCATCCTGTGCTGGCTGTACCGTAAGGGTAAGGGCTTAGTTTAAGGTGGTTTAGGGCTTAAGTTCAGGGTTCAGGATTTCGGAGTGAACCTGTTTTATTTTGCAGGTTCACCAAACCCAAAGCCCTCAACCCTAGTTCCTAAGCCTCAAACCACCCGAAATCCCAAACCCCAAAGCCCTCAACTCCCTAAGCCCTAAAGACCGAGTTTGCCAGGCAGATGGTGAGACAGTGGAGACGCTTCGGGTGGCTCAGCAGCAGCGAAGCCCTCTCCAGTTCGTTTTCACGAAGCCCACTGTTCAGGGTTCGGGTTGTTGAACACTCAGGGTTTCAATTTGTCAGGGTTTAGGGTCTAGGGGGAAACCCTTACTCCTCAGCTGTGGACTCTATACCCTCAACCCCCAAACCTCCTACCTGGTTCTTAGTAGGGAAGGAGGGGAGGGAATTAGGCACCTTTATACCACTATATATATATATATACATACCCTTTTAAAGGATTCTATTGGGTACTTCATTCCCTCACTGCCTACTAAGAACCAGTAGGCCTGAACAAAACTCCTGCGCCCTCGGAATTTAGGGTTTAGGGTTTAGGGGGTTCCATGTTCTCGGTTCACAGGGTTGCGGGTCGCGCCAGCCAAGGACGAGTGTACCCGAAACCCTAATACCCGAAACCCGAGCCCTAAACTGCAAGAATATTGAGGCCCACATCAGGCCTATATTAACCCCCAAAATCCAGAAGCCCTAAAGCCTTCGAAGCACTAGATCCCTAGAGCTTACAAACTCCAAAGCGCTGAAACTTGTAAGCCCTTTAATACCCCTAAACCCAACCCTAAATCCTAGACCCTAAACTTTAGACCCACCCCCCCCCCGAGCAACAACCCCTCTACAGCCGATAAAGCCCTCCGCCCTCAAGCCCCACATCGCTTATCAAAGCTAAAGCTCCAAGGCCCCAACTCCTACACACCCGCAAGCCCTAACCTAAACCCCTCAAGCCCTGAAAGCTTGGGCCCCTAGAGTTCTAAAACCCCAAAGCCCTTAATCCTGAACCCCCCTACACCCTATAAACCCTAAATCACCCAAACCCTGGACCCCCAGGAGGCCTTCGCAAAGCGACGTGGCACGTTCAATCTCGCGGAGAGCAGGGGGGACTTCGTCACCAGCTGCTGGTGCTTCACTTGCGAGGGTCTGGGCTTTAGGGTTTAGGGTTTAGGGTTTAGGGTTTAGGGTTTAGGGTTTAGGGTTTAGGGTTTAGGGTTTAAAGTTTAGGGTTTAGGGTTTAGGGTTTAGGGTTTAGGGTCTAGGGTCTAGGGTTTAGGGTTTAGGGCTTCAGGGGCTTTTTTTGGATCTGTTTTGTTCGCGGAGGGGGTGGGGGTTGGGGGTGGGCGGGGGTGGTAGGATACAAGGCTTCGGGCTTGAGTTGGTTTTCCATTGAAGTGACATTTACGAGAGACCTGCAGTTCCCAGGGTTTAGGGTTTAGGGTTCAGGGGGCCCATACCCTAAGCCCGCCCTCATGAACCCCACGTCAACTCCTCCATTTACAAAGGCAATATCAGAGGCAGCAACATTATCAAAGTAGCGCGCGTTGTAAAGATTCTTGTGGGTCAGATGAAGCCCCAAGGCTACGCCAAGCTCTCGCATGATTGTGAGATGCTGGCTCATTTGGAGGACTGGGGTCAAAGAGGATCAGAAAACTCATGCCTTATGCTTGCTGCTAGTGGGTTGAGGGGTTCAGCTTACCACAGCAAAAAACCTGCAACAAAGAACAAAAGGGCTGGAGCGACACCTACAACCGCAAAGCCTGCAGACCTCGACAGGCACTTGTCCATATCTATGC